CTTGGGTTGTTACCAACATCTGGTGAAAATTTCATGTCATTAGCACCTCTAGTAATATATTTACTGAGAAAAATGGTGACGTGTTCAATACTTACTTTACCTGCTGTATATTTAAAAAAAGAATAACTGATCATATTAGAATCAGAAAGATTAATTTGATGCTGTTAATCTGAGGTGTTTAACATCAGGAAAGCTTTATTTGAAGAACAGGACAATAGAAGTGAAAATGTGTCTTTAAGGAGTCTATAAAAGGAATTTGTCTTTATGAGTTTCTTAACTAGGAATGGAATTTTTTGTCCCCAGAAAAGTTGGGCTGCACTCTAATCCCCTGTAGTCAGTCAGTCAGCACTGTTTCCTAAACACTGTTTGATGGTGGCACATCAGTCATGTCTGGAGGCAGGATGATGACATGATTTAGGAAGGRAAAGGAGAGTTTTTAGCGGTGAAGATGTTTTTTCTCTTCTTGTTTTATGTGATAACCCTCACAGCAGAAGAGGTTTTATCTCCTTTTTAGTTGATTCTCAGYCCTTTTCTTCCTCTCAGTAGTTAAGACTTATTACCACCTGCTGCCAAAAGAGTAAAAGAGTCAAATTCTTTTGGCTCTGAGTGTTTGAGCATCTGCCTGTTACCAAAGCATTTAAAGAACCACAAGACAAACTGATGAAAGWAATCACTGAATGAACATCTACAACTTTTTAACTTTTAATGTAAACTTGGTTTAAGAAGGCAATTAGACTTGTTCACTGAATAAAAAAAAACATTTGAGACAATCTACTCCGGGGGGCCACAGTTACTGCAGGTCAACAGCTGAGGGGCCGAACATCCAGTAATTAAAGTCTTTATGTAAATAAACCAAGTATTACAGAGATCTGTTACCTTTGAATTAGTTTATTTTGCTGCATTTAATCATGAATACAACATACAGAACCCTATAAAAGTATAACTAAACAATATCAAAAACAAAAAAAAACACATTATTTAGGGCACGCCTATTTAACACAATGTTTTGACAAATCTGCTAAATTTTTAAAACAATTTTATTTTCAGTTTCATAGTTTTATCTTAACTGCTCGTAGTTTTAACAGTCTTGAGTGTTTATAGAAATGGTTTTTTACCAGTTTTTAGCCAAGATTCAGATGTTTCTGTAGATAATAAACATGTCTGTGTTTAACTAAAAGAACTTAGAATTAAAGTAGAAAACTGGGTTTGTTCTTCAGAGGTGAATGAACCAGTTGGTGACAGTGGTGGAGTCAGACATTTTCCTCAGGGGTGGTCAGACTGGGACCACTACACACACAGGGGTGGCCAGACTGGGACC